TGGATGGAATGGGATAACCATGTACTTATTTAATTACAAGATGGGCAAGTCGTCTGTTCAAATGTCTGGTTATTTGTAATAATATCTCCATAATCTGCAGCCTCTCTGCCTTCTCATCCTTCCTTTGACTCACAAGGAAAAATACCACGAAGGAATGTCTCCAGTTGGGCCTTTTCAGATTAGGAACCATGGACAGCCAAAGAGGCTCCACCATAATGGAAAGATGTGTAACCATAAATAACACAACATCAACACTCCTGTTGCATCTCCAGCAATAAAATAAGCTCAAAACCACCACCAAAGGAAATTCCAAAGAAATTATCAAGCACTGAGAATATCACATGCCTTTTGAGCAGGTGAAAAACATTTCCAAGAAATTGCCAGGCAGGTTTTGGTGCAACATTATATAATTCTGTAACAGATGGAGAGCCGCATTTCACCCTACAACGGCCCAGATACACAAATAGCTTAAATGTATAACTTCCTCATTATCCCCAGTAAGGAGTTACAAAACTCTGGCCAGATCTCCCATCATTTAATTTTGAACTGTTGTCAGGGCCCCCAGACTGAATTGCACTCTCCCACTAACTCTTGTTTACTGCACTATTTGCCTACTAGAAAAAATAATTATAATTAGGAAAGTGATTCAAGAGAGGGGATGATAGTTGTTTCTGAATCAGAGCAACCTTTGGTCTAATCTGGCCCTGAATTAATTCACTTCCATGAGTTGTAAACGTGGTTTATTAAATATATTCTTAACCCTGCTGCACCCCTAGCTGGTGAACCATGCAAAGTATAGTTTTGCCCATTTCCCCTAACATATGGACTGCACTGTCACCTGGTGGTGATGAAGGGAACAATTTTCAGCCAGCACCCAACACACATATTTTTCAGCAGGCTACATCAGATTGTTTTAAAATGTCTACAGTAGTTCTGCTTCTTGTTTTCATATTATGCACTTGGCAGCTGATATGAACCATTTCTAATTTCCCCTTCTGAGATCAGGGTTCTATCTCACATTTTGGAGGGGAAACAAAAATCTTACAGTCCCTTGAACACCATTGCATGTGATTACAGTCTTCAAGAAGAATTGCTTAGATTTAAGGCTACAGCTAAATTCCTGGCAAGGCTGTATAGCCATAAGGGTTAATTTAACAATTTAAATTATCTGCTGGGTTATTTAAATCACCTAGCACTTCAGTGCCACAGACGATCTGATTATTCAGCCTCTACCACCACCTTGTGGCTGGAAGAAGTTATGTGTACAGAAGTTCATACCAGTTGGTTTGCCCAGATTTAAAAACATCTTACTCTGTCACAAACCTAGTTTGGCTGTAAAACACATTTAACATCAAATGCCCTCTTAGAAGGGTGCATTGCACAGCCATGTGATTGTTTTCAAGGTTTTGTGCTATGGATAGAAGGTATGGGAGGTGGATAGAAACATGGGAAGCAGCTTTGTGCTAAGTCAGATAATTCATTTATCCAGCCTAATATCATGTATTACATCCTTTTTTAACTATGTGCCCTCCAGCTATAGTGAAAATACAACTCCCAGAATTCCCAGTGAGCAGCTGTAGTTCAATTATAACAGGAGGTACCCATTTCAGAAGTCTGGTCTAGTCTAGTCAGAATGCAATGACTCTTAGCATGAGGCAGACCATCCTTCTGATCACCTACAACCTGAGATCCTTTTAGCCAAGATACCAAGGATTGAAGCTGGGATCTTCGGCCTGCAAAGATGCACCTAACTGCTGAGCTACAGTCCTCCCAGGTAAATGCACAATGGGGGGGAGGGGGTTACATAGAACCAGTGGGCTAAAGTAAATGGCAGGATCACAAAGGGCTCTTTCTCACAATCATATTAATGTGCATTCCTCCAATCCTTGAATTGGCATAAAAATATGGCAGACCCTACTCTGATTTATTTACAGGCTTGTGAGAGGTCCTATCCTTACAGCTTTACTGCAGGACAATTTAATGGCACAGTTGGTAATTTCCCTGGCTTCTCTTCCCACACAGCATCGCCAGTTACTCAGGAAAAAAGCCCCCTCTACTGTGGAAAGCTTGGGCTTGGGCAAGTGTGGGTGGGTGTCTGGGATAGAGGCTTTACTCACATTCAGGTTGCCCAAAGACAGGTTGTCAGTGCAGAGGTATTTAGCATGGTAAACTATTACTTGGGCTATTTCTGAACCCAGGTCTCCTGGAAGACTGTCAGACTTGTGTCCAAAATTAGCCCAATGGACAGGTAGGTGGGGTGGAGGAGAGGCTGTCGCATTTCATCCTGGCCCATCTCCCAGAAAACTAGTAAAACCCTAGATGGGATTTACCCATCTTCCTGTCCCTTGGTCTAGAAGGGGACACCAGCAGAACTCTGTCACTTTTACCCCAGCTCCCAAATAATGACGGGAAGAAAATGACACCGCAGGCAAGAAATGGCTGCAATCAGCTGCATCTAGAAGTATTCCATGGAGTACACAAAATGGTGTTAGAGTGGGCAAAATGGCCCTGCCTCCCTCCCAAAGTAACAAGAACAGCAGAAAGCACAGCTGTGCAAAACTCCTTGTCAGCAGAAGCAGCAGAAATTCTGCAATCCCTCATTTGGAACAGGACCTGCGACACGTTTTTCCCAGTTTAAGAAAACTGGTGGCTTTTTTTTTTTTAGACAAGACAACTGGTCTTCTGAAGAGCACTGTTTTAAACAATTTATTTCAAAAGAGAGAAATAAAAAAATAACCATACTGTACATCACCAACAGAAGAAAAAAGTTAGTGAAGAAAGAAAACCTAAACATGCTATAGTGACTTAAATAAACTAAATATGACAAAAGAGAGAAAAAAAGAAAAGAACAGAAAATATTGATACGCTTAGTATAAATAACAATATAAAGTTAATCCTTTAACCTTATCATTAAATCTAGACCATACCTCAACCTACTGTGTCATCTTCTCATTTTTAGAACACAGAGACTTTTCAAAAATAAGCTCATATCCTGGATCCATTTCTTAAATTAGGACAGTAAATTACTTTCCAAATACGTGATTATCCTCCTTGCCCTAGCCCAGGCTTGGCAGACCAAAGCTCTTCATGAAGTAGCAAAATCCGTGTTTTAGGAATATAGTTCAGAAAATAATTGATGTTCTTAACTATGATATTTCTTCCCAAAATTGTACTGACGTATATAGTAATTTGAAAGCAAAACAAAGATATAACTGGGTAAGACCAAATCATTGACTCTCAAATTTCTTGTAACACCAACATAAAAATCTAATGTCTATCCCTTTTTAAGTATTCTTGGTGGGGTCCAATAAACATGAAATAATATTTTCTGAGTATTTAACTTCATTTTTAAATCATATTTCACATTTCTTAACACCTGGATCCATTGATTCTCCAAAACTGGATATTCTAATTCTTCACACCATGATTCAGATATATAACTAATACTAACTTTCGTTTTGTTTTTTAATTCTTTTAAAACGGAATTGTTGATTTTCGTTTGAGCACTGCATCTCTTAAGAAACTTAAAATTTCAAATACCTAGGAGGCTATTTAAAGTGTATGAGCCATACCATTTAATAAGTACATTATTTATTTATTCATTCATTCAATTTTTATCCTGCTGCAATCTTGTGACTCTTTGCAGTTACAATTCACAATGAAAACAATTACAGAATTAAAACAACGTTCAATCCAAATAGGAAAAACAAAACCAAAGTAGGACAGAAAAAAAAAGAACAAGGGTACAGTTGATGTTACTGAAAGGACTTTTCAAAATCTTCTGATTTTAATAACTCCCTAAAAGATACCAGGGAGGAAGTCTCTGATCTCCATAGTATCAGTACTACTACAGAGAAGCAGCACTTTCTAGCTTTGGCACCCTTGACATCCCCACCTGGTTGAATCTGGTTGGAGGAGGCAGTCCTGTAGGTGCCAGATATTTCATATATACTGCCAAGCAAATATTATAGGTAAGTCAAAACAAATATTGCAAAATCTTTAAAACAACCATTAGAAATCAACTGATTTAAAGTACTAATTCCTTGTTCAGATCAAGCATTTCAATAAAAGAAGTTCTCCAATATTTTCAAATGTGGATCATTTTACAGTTTCTCATGTGATTGAGGATCCAAATATAACTGTTTACCTATTCATAATCAAATGTGCTTAGTAGCTTTCAAGGTTGGCAATGAAGATCCCAGTTCAATATACCTAGCCCTTAAAACTTGCGAAGATTTCAAAGGTATTACACACTTTCCAAATGAGCCCAAAGAGGAGAATAATCATAAAAAGTCTCATTCAAAAAAGACCACAGGTCTAGCAGTATTCCAGAAGACCAATATACCTGTATCTATTAGGAGCCCACCAAATGTCTGAATGGTGTTTTGAAAGGCATGGATTAGGCATCACACTGACAAATGTCTCCATGGAAACCAAGTTGGTTTTTCCTTTTGTTCAACCCAAAATGGCCATGGAGGGCACTGTCCAATTACTAGAGGAAAGGAAGCATGCCTGCAGCAGCCTCAACTGGCCAATCATAACTCAGAAGATCCCAGTCCCTGACCACATCATTACCAAATTCCTGAATGAGGCATTGTAGGTCATTCATATGCCAAGGCTTGTGTTAGGAGAAGGCAGAAAATACTGCTTTAAAACTGGAACAATTAAAAATGAATGAAGGTTATGTCATGAGGACACGTCCTCTAAAAACAGTTAATGTAGTGTCTCCAAGACATGGTTAGCAGGTTATGCAGAAGAATTCAAGGGAACTATGGAAATTAAGATTTAAAGACTTCAAACCCACTACGGTACCTAATTTCCAAAGTCAGAGTCAGCAGATACCCTGGCAGAAATGAAAGGCTTGCTTATTTGCAGGCCAAGTTTTTTTTATATGAAATCAATCAAAAAAAGTCATACAGAGATGTGCTCCCTTCCCCCTCTTCCTCAGCATCACCATCATCATTGCACTGTCACCATTGCTACAGAGAAGGCAGCATCTTTCAAAGCTGGTGCTCCACCTCCTCCACACAGGATGACACCACCTTACCATCTACCAGTTCTTCAATGACAGTCTTCACCCGACGGCTTACAGAAGGCTCTGCAAGGAGTGTCACAAGATGCTATATCAGGAATGGAGGGAGAGAGACACCATGGAGTATCTAAGGAGTTAGGGAATGGATAAACCTGAAAGGACAATGCTGGGGATTGGTATTGTACATTCAAATGTGTTCCAGAACCATTGACTGAATTTTCAGCTCAATATTTATGTCTTCAACTTGATCCACTGGGATTTTAGGATGAATAATATGAATTAAGAATCACATTCATTTTGCATAGTCATCTTGTTTAATTTAAACCTAGTATATCACATCTTCATTCTATTAGAGAGACTTGACCTTTACTGAAGCCAAATCAATTCCAGATATTCACCATCTAGTGCCACCATAATCATCCTTTTGAGTTCCCTTATTAGTAATTTTGTATTCTCAACCCAGCTGAAACGAGACACCAGCCTCTTTCCATTGTATATGTATAGCTGCTGCTAAGCCCCAACTGCAACTTTTGCCATACAGCTGTCAATCCACGTTTATGGTACCTTGCAGCAGGATGCAAAAACTGCATTGTACAGGTGATGGGCATTGCCAGCTGTGCATCTGCTGGACCTGGCTGGAGTCACATGGGCAGATTTCTACCACAGCCAAGTATTGAAGTTCTTTTGAGAACCAATCCACTGTGACTGACTCTTATTCATGTTCAGACTGTCTTTGGAAAAAAATTTCTCTAGTTCAAACTATTAAGAATCCCTTAGGCCTTCCTGGTTTCCCTGCATGAACCACCTTCTCAGCTTGTCATCTAGATCAAAGGTAGACAGTGGATATGAATGTACCAAATCTTCCAATATATCCCTGAGGTACAGTAATTTGCAATGATTTCTGACTCGGTTTTTTAAATTTAATATAACATCTTCTCTAATAATATCTTCTCACCTAAAGTAGGAAAAGAAGGAACCTTGGTGTGGAGTTAATAACTGACAGACCTCAAGTAAAAAAACCTCTGAACTGTGGTTCTAGTACTCCAACAAATTTTGTTATCAACGTTCTTTTTTTCTATATACATGTCTTTCTCACCAGGTACTCTTGATTTTTTAAAAAATCCTACAAACTGAAATCTGTTACTTTTGTGAGGAACTGGTAAAAAAAAAAAAAGGCCCTACCTTTAGCAAGGATGTTTCTCCAGTTATAATGCTCCTATGATACTCAGACAATGTGATAATGATAGAAGAGCTTTACTGTTGCACAGTCCCTGAAGACTAAATCCCACAGCTAAAATCATCCATTATAATCTCTTTGTTGGCTGACACATTCTGGGATGATTTATTTATGTCCTCTACTGATTTTTTTTTTCAGAGAGTTTGGAGAATGTTGTCTGCTTACTCCAAACACGTTCAGCCACTCATTCAGTATCCCAATTTAGCCACCTTTCAAAGATGGTGCCTGCTCTGCACACCATTAGGGATGGAATCATGTGTTCACATTGCAGTTCACATAGCTATCAATTTACTTTAAGCATCATAGTTAACAAAGAATCACGGGAAATGCAATTTTGTCTCAGTGCTGAGAATTCTCTGTTAAAGCCTCTGTACAGGATACTTCCTTTAGGAGACATGGCAATTAAGCAGGATTGAAACTAATTTAAATTTAGAATGTAAGCATACCCACTATGTAATCTGGGGGAATCTTCTAAAGGTGAGTTAAGCATATCAAAGTCCACCAAAAATCATAGTAATTTTACCCTGTGTGATGTTACGAGTATATCAGCTTTCATTCAAAGCAGTAGTGTAAACTTCCCCATGCTGAATGAAAGTTCTGAAAGTTGAAGTCCAACACACCTGGAGGACACCAGGTTGGGGGAGGCTGAACTAAAGTCTGAGAAATGTAGATGTGGAAACTGAAAGTACATCTTGCACCACTAACCATGTTAGCTGGGTCTGATGGGAACTCGAGTACAACTCAATTCAGAGTTTTTTAACTATAGCTATAAAAACAAAGTTTTTAGTAATAAATCAATGAGTTGGGGGTTTAAGTGTATTATGTAATATTTATAAAATATTTTATTTGTTAAATCATTTTACTTAATGCCAAATTTTAGACTGTATTTGTAACTTGGTATTCGGGCCTTTTGGCTGTAAATAAAGATTGAATTGAGTACAACTCTGGAAGGCCACAGGTTTCCTGTCTCTGGTTAAGGGTAGGTAGTCTGGGTTATGCTAAATCATTGTAAGACCCATTCAACTCTAGAAAAGATGCTGAGAATAAATGAATCTTTCGTTAACAGTTTTCTCATCACAAGCCCGCGGTAAGAGTCTCTGTCTAAAATTGCTGCAAAAGTTATGAATTGATTTTCATGTTGCATGTATGAATACAGATTTCCCCAAGGAGCAGTCTTAAATATCAAATCATTTAGCATACCTGGAGTAGTCAGTGGCTCAGATTCAGACCTAAAGAAAGAAAAGAACACCAGATCTGTGAACAGATTCATGGTTTTCCAAATTGCCTAACAAAGAGTTCATTTGTACTATCCAGTTCCTACTTGAATCCACATGCATTTCCCAAAGATCAGGCTCAGTATGGCTTAATATTCTGGGAGCTGCAGTGCCAACACAAGTGAAAGGTTCCAAGCTGGAAAAGATTGGTTTTAGGCCATATTCACATTACAATCAGTTACAGTAAGCGACACAGTCTTTTCACAGGATGCCTCCAGTAAACTTCCTTCTGGCTTTATTCCTTAGCATATCTGGGTAACGCAAACTTCTTTCATTGCAAGAAATTCTTTGCTAATCAACTCTACGTGCACCAATGGTCTTACAGAGCAACCCTCACTTATTTTCATGATCTGGTATTATATTGCTGTAAGGACTTTACTTCCCCATGCAGTAAGACATTCCAAGGACTGTCAGTGCTAGCAGAATATATAGCATAGGTACTATAACTAATAATTTGCACAGTATTTTATTTATTTTAAAAAAATGTACACTGAATGTAAAAGAAGGCCTGTAAAGTATAAATCTAAATCAAGCAACAGTTCTACAATCTCACATCAAATCCCAAGGACACACCATGCAGCACCTTATAACCATGTTCAAGCAGGCCCAAAGCCCATGTTGAAGCCTATAAACTCTGATATTTGAGACAATCTATAATTAGCATGACTCTTAGCTATCAATGGCTTATTTTCCAAGTATTTATGTTATTCCCTTTTAAAGTCATCCATAACTATTATCAAGCTCTATTGTCTCCCCCCTGCTTGGTCTTTAAAAAAAATCTAAAAAGACTCTCAAACTTATAGCTCTTCTTCACAGGGGATTTGATCCAGCCTATAATCTGCCCTACTATATATTTGTCATTTACTTATGTATTATTTATTAAAACATTTTATAAGTGGTCAACTACCTAGAATCTAAGTATGGTTTAGAAAATAGAAAAATAATGCAACGATTAAATATACATTAAACAGCCTTGAACAAAAATATTTTCCATCTTTTCCAGCTTACAGTTCCTTTCTAAGTTGCATTTCATATGGGTTCATACAGTAAATTTATATAAAGCATACAATAAGGACTTTAATTCTGCATGGAGACTACTGGTGAGAGCTGAGCAAAGAGATTCTTCTGTCCAATAAGCCAGCTCTGTCTTCCTCCAGGAAATTCTATTTCATCCCTCCCACTCACCACCAGATTTCCTTTCTCATTTTCCAACTGTCAGTCAACAATCCATGGCTGTCAGTGGGTGGAGGAAGGAATCCCCTCTTAGAGTTCATTTTTTAAAAATCAGTTCTTCATACTTGTTCAGTCCTTGGGTTTCCCAAATCTCCCACTTGAGTGCAAATGGTGCTGTTTGGGTTACATAAATATCAACATTTCCCTCTACATTGTAGAAATAAATGGATCGACAAGCTATCTGGACAGATGGCACTCATCTTCCCCACTCCTTCCTACCCTTCAAGAAGGCACCGGTAGGTTGCTATCTCCTGCTCCAGTCTGTTCTTGATATCCATCAGCCGCTTATAATCCTCAGCTTGGTGCTGGGCCCCAGACCTCAGTTGCAGCAGCTCCGCCTCCCGGGCAGCCACAAGATCACGTAGCTGTGACAACTGCATCCCATAACGGGATTCCACCTCAGCCAGGGTCCCCTCAAGGGCTCCTTTCTAGGAACAAGAAAGATTTTTTGTGAAGATGCTAAATGAAAAGATGGTACCTTTGCAGGGCCCAGGAACAGCAGAGAGTAGATGAAAAGAAACTTGAGTCCAGCTTAAAAACATGGCTTGCCTTCAAGGAGATATTATAGGGGACATACACAAATGTTTAGTTGAGGATATCAGCATGGTGTCCAAGTAACTTCCCTTAGATTGTTTTTAATAAAATAAAATAAATGGGAAGCTTGCGTACTGCAAGGAAAGCATCTTGTACATCATCTTTATTTACAGGAACCTTTCAGGGCATTCTTAGAACATAAAAATGGGGGGAGGCTGAAGTCTAAGGCTCAGAGAAATGGCAGACAGCATCTTGGAGGAGAGGGGGTGCAAACAAGCATCCCAAGCAGTTACTTTGTGAAAATGTTCATAACCTGCTCTAAAATGTCTAAATATGTCCATCAATCCCCCACATTGGGGCATTCCTGCTTCGGGCCACAGAAGAATTAAATTCATGCTAATCCTCAAGTCAGTAGCACTCTTTCTGCATTTGAGCTTTTAGCATAAAATCCACAAACTGGAAAAGTGAGTGGCACTGACCATGCTCCAAAGGGACTGCAGTTCAATCTCCAAAGCCTGGGCCAGCCGTTTCAGCTCCGTGATCTTCATCTGAGCACTCTGTAGGGCTTCAGTGCTGACAGAAACCTCCTGATTGAGCGCATCACACTGTGAAAGAGAGGAGAAGTTATATGTTTTGATATGTCTGACCATATTCTCTTCCATACAGAGAGTAGGAATCTTTGGAAATTGGGATTATCATTTGTGTATGAACAGGTGCAGTGATGCTGCACATTACTCAGTTGTTCACTTGTTTCACTCTAACAATTAAGAAGCCTTTGACCAGGATTCATATAAGTTACATTTGACCAGAGACCTCTGTTTATTTCTCACAAAGCAGAATCAGATACCAAGGGCAGACCTTGGCTAGTGACATTCATTCATTCATTCATTCATTCATTCATTCATTCATTCATT